CACACCAATCAAACTTTTTAAGCCTTTCGACTATGCTTGCATCAAGTTTCTTTGAAGAAAGTTCAGAGTGAGTCTCTCATTTTCTTTTTCTTTTCTCTTTTTTTTTTTTTTTTTTTTTTCTTTCTCCTTTCTACTTATTGTTCATTTCTTCTTTTCCTTTTGTTTTCCTTCTCCTTTCTCCTTCTTTCCTTTTTACATCTCCTCCTCTTACCCCTCTTTTTTCTTCTTCCTTTCTTTTCCCTTTTTGTTTCTTTTTTTCTTTTTTTTTTTTTTTTTTTTTTTTTTTTTGAAGGATATTCGAAATGTACTTTTCCAATCGAAGTAATTATCAGGATGATTCAAGAAATCGCCATGATGTTCTTCTTCGTATTTCTTTATTATTTTTTCTTCGTATTTCTTCATACTGGAGCACAGGTTTATACATAGTACGATGGAGCCAGATCATAATCGGGCACCGAAGAGAACAAGTGACAAGACAAGCGAGGAAAGAAAGCACTGAGATTCACCATTTACTCCCACATGTATCTTTATAATCTCTGCGTATCTATAATCTACCGCATGCATCTACAATCTGCATTGCATACAATCATATGCTATTATCTTTTTCATACAAGCCTCAATTTCATATAAGCCACAAATCACTTCGTCAACGCATAGGGCTAAATTAAGAACCCTATTTCTCACGCCTTTTGAATATGAATTTAATTTATTTCAACTAATTATAAAAATGATTTTTAATTCCAAATATCCAGATATAAAAATTCCTCAAGTTGGAATTTATCAATATGTAACAAGTAATCCAAACAAAATTTCTGAAGATAAGGTTATTTACTTGGACGGGATTACTGGCAAAAGTTATACTTTTGGTGAATTTAAACATGAATCGAAAAAGTTTGCTGCTGGATTACAAGATAAGCTAGAATTTAAACATAGTGATGTTTTGGCAATATTTTCACCTAATCAGGTATTCTTTAAAACTTTTTCATTAGTAAAACATTTTAATTAATTAATTTATTTATTTGATTTATTTGATGATATAATTATTTTTCTATCAAGGTTGATTATCCTATAGTACTCTTTGGTGCAATTGCGGCTGGTATTATATAATTTCATATAAATTGATAATTTTTTAATATTTTCCGATTCTAAATTATATTTATTTATTTTTAGGAGGCAAAGTAGCGACAATTGATACAAATAATAAAGCAACTGAATTATCTTATCAATCAACTGATTCAAGTGCATCAGTTCTAATTGTGCATCCAGAATTACTTGAAATCGCTATTGAAGCTTCAATAGATTCAAAAATTCTTACCTCTAAGATATTGTTGTTTGGTGATCAAGAAATAAAAGGATATAAACCTTATCGTTCTATTTTAATTGGTGATCGTGTAAGGGTAATAACAGATATTACGTAATATCTTGAGGGGGGAGGGGTCTCTGATTTTCTTACGTTAGATATATAAATTTATAATAGCCAATCAAATTTATCTTACGTGGGGGGAGGGGGGTAGAGGGTATAGTAAAAAAATATTACGTATTATCTGTTATTACCCTAATTGAACCAATTTATTATACTCCTGAAGAAGCAAAATCAACAACTGCTTATTTGCTTTATAGTTCTGGAACAATCGGAACACAAAAATGTATCGAACGTACTCATACAAACGCAGTATCTTACAGATTGCAAACTTGGACCACACAGTATAACTATAGGTACCGCAGTAGGTCATATAAAAGAATTTTTTAAAGTGTTTTCGGGTCTTAGATATTATTATTTAGAGTAAATTTTTTTTTTCTCTAAAAATATAGCAATTTTTCAGTAATTCGTTGGGCAGTATTGTTCATGCGACATTAATTCATGTTTATTGGTTATTCTATATTTTATACTGTTTCATCATTTTATTGTTAATTTAATTTATGAGTTATGCTTTAATAATATAGGGTGCTACTACAATCATTCATTCAAGCTTCAGTGTAGAAACGTTTTGTGAATCAATTCAAAAATATAAAATTAACCTTATTTATGCTGCTCCGGAAATTATACTTAAACTTGTCAATGATCCATTAGCTCAGCAATTTAATTTATCAAGTGTGGATACAATATTAAGTGCGGTTGCCCCATTAGGTGATAAATTGGGAGAAGAATTTTATGAAATGTTTAAAATGCCAATTTTGCAAACTTATGGTAAGAAGTTTTATTGTAAGGTCATTTGAACTTTTTGATGCTCATATTGAATGATCTTACTATGTGCATTAATCTTTTCCTTCCTTTATTCTCTTATTATTTCCATGACATAATAAAGGTCTTACTGAAACGGGTGTAGTACTGCGCCCTCAATCTGATACGATTAAGAATGCGGCTCCAGGTATTATGCTACTAAATAATATGCTTACTGACAACAATTACAAAAGCAACTTAACTATTTTTAATAGGATCTATTTGAATTCTTATTCCAAATATGAAAGCTAAAATGTTATCAGAAGATGGTCGTGGTAATTATTATTTTTATATTATCACTAAATTGAAATCCAAATAAAATTTATTATTTTACATTTTTAGAATTGGGATATAATGAACCTGGAGAATTGTGGGTTCACGGCCCAAATATAATGAAGGTACGTACATAATATAAAAATTAATTATACTAATCTAATATAATCATGTTACTTGTACTAAAAGTGTTATACTTTTAAATAGGGTTACCTTAATAATAAAGAAGTTACAGATGCTGTTATTGACAAAGATGGATTTTTTAACACAGGAGAAATTGCATATATTGATGAACAAGGTATCTTTTATGATTTAATAAAATTTAGATTGATATGTTACATAACCATAATTTCATATTTGTTTATAAAGGGAACTACTTATTAGTGATCGAAAAGAAAGATTTAATAAACTATAAAGTACGATTATAGTGATTATCACTTTGCATATGATTATATCATTAAATTTGTTAAATACAAAAATTAAAAATTTGCAGGATTTTCAAGTGGTACCTTCTGAACTAGAATCGATTCTGCTTACACATGATGCTATATCAGATGCAGCAGTAATAGGATATTATTCTGAAGAAGAAGCAACGGAAATTCCTATAGCATATGTCACAATTAAAAATGAGCATGAGCAAACCCAAGATTTAGCGAAGAAAATTCAATCTTTTGTGGATGAAAAGGTTGCAACACATAAAAAATTAAGAGGTGGTGTATTGTTTATTGATAGAATTCCAAAAAATGAAGCTGGCAAAATTTTGAAAAAATTATTAAGGGAGAAATTAAAAAATGATATCAATGAATGATAAAATGGATTAATTTATCATCTTATTATTATTATGTTTAGTATTACTTTTTTTTATTAAGCCATTTGAATTTAAAAATTCGTTTAACGCCAATAGAAAACGAGTACAAAAAATATAAATAAATCAAAAAAAAAAGGTATAATTGAACCCAAATCAGGTACATTTTGAACCTAATTTAGATCTGTTTAATTTTAGTGTTTGTTTACCCCCAAGCAAATATGAAAAAAGTAACGTTAAGCGAATCTTTAATTTCAAATGACCTTATCTTATATCTTGAAGAAAATTTTAAAAACAATTGTATTTGAGGTATATTTAACATATAAATTCAATTTCACATCACCTTTTTTTGCAGTACAACCAGCATTAAACAAGAATTTTGCAGAAGTGAAAATTTCTGGACTTAGGATTTTTTGTATATATTTTTCGTTAACTTGTCATCAAAACAATTATAGTCAGATTTTCAATAGTTATCCAGCAAGCTCTTATGATCATAGATTTATTTCTTTTTGTTATTTTTGATGTGTTATGTCGTGATCATGTTTATTCGAATTAAACTCAGTTAGCCAATCATGACTTGAGAATCATGATCATGAATTGCCGGACAACACAAATATTAAAACATGTGTTGATAAAATTTGTCCAGTCGTGTAAATGATTGGACAAGTTTTGCAATATTATTCGATGCATGATCAACAGTGTATAAAATCTATGTGCACAATGTGCTCATGTGCACATGTTTTTAAAAAGTTTCACATATTTTTGGCTAGAAATGTGCACAGAATTCACATACTTTTGGGCTAAATAGTGCACCAAAATTATTAGTAAAATTAGATGATGTGCACATAGAGCACACTGTGCACATAATTTATTGTTGCATTTTTAGATTTATCTATATAAATTTAATCATAACAAAGCTATATAGTGCACAAGTTTTTAAATTTGTTCACATAAATTATGTGTACAATGTGCACAAGATCACATACTTTTGGGATCAGATTTTATACACTGATGATCAATATTATATACTTATCTCTATAGTCAAATTCATATTCTCACAATTATAGTTTACTGCTATAATTACCAGTTAAGTGAAGTGACTATCGAAGAATAAGCAACAATTTTTTTTATACCAAATGTTTTACACATGCATAATACACACACAAAGTTTTTTTTCTAAACCTGGAGGTGACCCAGGACGCCCTTGGCGTACTTTATTTAATTTCGTTTAAACGTTATACAATTTTTACGGAATCTATTTCTAGGCTGTCTGTACCACCCTACTCTGTACTTAGTCACTAAGGTACCCCTTCATTCGTCACGTTGCCCGCCAGCGGTGTTTTCAGTTTCAGCTCCTATCTGGTCTCCGGTAGTTCGTCCAGTCCACTTGGTACTCCTCTTCCATGTTCCTTCTTGAAGTTTCGGTTTTCCTTCCATTTTGGGTGTAGGCAGGTGCCCCCTAAGTGTCAATCTTATACTCTTTCTTTTATAGGTTGGTACTACTTGCCTTTTAATAGATCGGTACTATATTATCCTAAATCGGAAGCCTCAATTTTATCGACTTTTGTTGTTAGATTTTCACTTTTCTGGTGTCGTCTGCCTTGTGGCTGTGTCACACAACCTTGCTTATTTTGTCGTAGTTATCTGTTGTAAACAGGAACTCCTCATAGATTCTTCTATTCATGGCTCTAGCACAGTTTTTGTCTCCTGTTGGACTTGAACCAACGACCTTGCGAATGTGACCCAGAGTGCTAACCACTGCACTATCGACCCAGGGTCCACATAAAGTTTTAGTACATACATACATATGTGTAGTGTTTAAAATTCAATGTTCTCATGGTTAGTGTTCCAAATCGAAAATCGATTAATTGGATTAATTGATTAATCGACGATTAATCGATTGGCTTTTCAAATATGTGATTAATCGATTAATCCGATTAATCGATTGGCTTTTCAAATATGTGATTAATCGATTAATCCGATTAATCGATTAATCGATCAATCGATTAATCCGATTAATCGATTAATCGATCAATCGATTAATCGATTAACCCAAATAATTGATTAATCAATCAATTAATAATGGTGTTTGCAAAAAGGAGTACCTTTCTGCAAACCGCTATAATCGATTAACCTGATTAATCGATTAATCGACAAATTGAAATATATAAAAAGCTTTTTTTAACTATTTCTTCGCTCAAAATAGTTTGTATTTATTCACTATAGTAATTGATTAGTTGTTGCAATCAATCAATCGATTTAATCGATTAATCGATTAATCGATTAATCAGTTAATCGTTAATCGATTAATTGATTAATCAGTTAATCGATTAATCGATTAATCGATTAATCGGTTAATTGATTAATCGATTAATCGGTTAATTGATTAATCGATTAATCGATTAGTTGGTACAATCGATTTTTAATCGATTATTAAAAAAATATTTATCCGATTAATCGATTGCATTTTTTGATCCAATTTGGAACACTACTTATGGTTCTCAAATGAATATTTGAGTTTTTTTAAGAACATTGATATTTAGAAAAGGTTCTCTTATTTGAGAACATTTTATCCTCTTGAAATTTTCTATTTTGTTCTAGATTTATTAATGAGAACAATAAATTATATAAAATGTTCATCAATTTGATAATATGATTTGATTATAATAAATATGTACATGTATATACATATGTACATATGTATGTACATATATACTCTGCATAGCACATATGTTAAAGTTGTACAATATAGATAACAAATAAATATTTAAGAAAATAGTCTTTAAAGATTTTTAAAATAAAATATTCATTAATCATGCAGTGTGTTTATTATATAGAGAGAGTATTATTATTGTGTAGACTTATATATAGATAATTTGTGTCAAATAATATGCTGAAACTAACAAGTAAAAAGATACAAAGTATTTGTTAGTATGAAGTTTAAAGAGTTAATTGGTAAATTTTTTTTTTGAACTTGACGATCATGTCATGCTTCAATGCTTTATTGATGATAATTTCCCAAAAGAAAAATTTTTTACATTCACCATTTGGTGTTTGAATCGAAAAGTGGCTCACCTGGTTACTATAAAGTACCTAAATACTCGAGCACCTATGTGCGACCTGCCAAGAGTAATTTAGTCTCATTGGTTTGCATCGATCTACCTCAGACCAATCTGCCCCGAATCACTGACCTGACTTACCAGCCCGTCATGACTGTCTTCTTTCCCAACCTTCTTCTCCTAGTCTCCTAGGTAAAAGAACTACCAACAAAATAGAAAGAAAAGTAAAAAGGATAACAAAATTGGGAGTACTAAACTAACAAAATAAAAAAAAACTTAACAAGAAATAAAAGGGAAGGGGATAAATGAAAAAAATATAAAAACAGAGAAAAGGAGAAAAAGGCTGAAAAAAAGATGACCATGACGACACTATTTTTGTCTGTGTTAGGCTTTAAAAATTATATAGCATTGTATGGAAGAAATCTAATCTAACACTATATGTATTCTAGAAAGAGAAAAAGAAAAGAAAAAAGTCTAACATCTAGAAATTTCTACATGTGATCCCTCCAATCTCTATTACACTAGTCATTGTTTATTTGGTAAGCATTAACACAAATATCCTCACGGGTGATTCCATTTCGGTAGACGCGTCTGGATTTGGAAGGAGTAAACACTGCTGATCTTTTGGAGAGGGTACACCGAATTGCACACTTTTTGTAAAATTTCGAAACGTCCAAAGCAGTCCAGAAGAAGAGTACCAAAATAAAAGAGTTGTATGAGTTACGCTGACAGAATAACATATCTAACCAAGTATCTACTTCTATTTTCATATCCATAGGCCTTAACAAAGCTCCAGAGTTTCTCTGCTACATCTTCGCTCAATAGCACCAAAGCCTGCCAAGGTGCCTTGCTTATAAGTCTACTGTTCTTTTTCATCTCTATTTCAGTCGCAAAACATACAGTGAATGGACTTTGTACCCGACAGCAGCTTTGGTAGAGTTTTGTTGTGTATAAATATGTTAACTGCATAGTTTTTGTAGGTCTGAGTTCTTGAAAATTTTGGTACAAGGGATTGTTGGAAAGAGTTGTATAGGTTAATTGGTAAATTGCAGTTAAAGGGAACAAAAATGATAAACCTAATAAACAAAATCAGGAAATTCATTTGTTTTTTCTATAGTGTGGGAATGGGTTTGCTTATATTTTTTTATTAAGTAATCTTTCTTGTTGCTTAATTGAAAGTTGTAGAGCTAATTCTTGTGATTATATAATAGTAGTAAAATTATCAAAATTAGTTTGATAGATCATAAGATACAAGTATTTTTCAATTGTTTACTATAAGTTATTTCTTATAAATTGAAGCACATAGTGTTCTACTTACTATATAAAGTAATAGTAACATGCACACCAATTTTTACTATGAAATTTGATCCCTTTATCTCTGGACTACTAATTAAATAACAAAGTAATTAGATTCTAATTTATCATATTAACCAATAGAAGTATCAGTAAAATATTATAGAAAGTCTTGTTTTCTTATAAAAAGCATTTGAATGTTTAACAAATTATTAAAAATTGAATTGTATAATATATTGTTTTATATTGAAAAAATATAAAGAATCATATGCAAACTTTAAAAAATTATTAATAAATAGGCATGAACATAGTATGTGAATATATGAACATTCTTTAAAAATTAATGTTCAATATATTTAATATATAATAAACACTAAAAAGTTTTGAGAACAATAAAAATTTAAATTATGCTCTTTTGAGAACATAACTTTAGATTTGAATTTTAAATACTGTATACATATGTAAAAACAAGATCATTTTTAGTAGCATACAATGTGATGCTAGTGTGATGCTTGACATATAAAAAATAAACAAAAAGTGATAGTTAGAATTATATAAACCAATTAGATCTAAGATTTTGAGACATAATATTATTTTGATTGCTACATAACTATACCTATAAACTATGTAATATTTATTACTTTATTTCTAGTATAGACAGTTAATCTATGACAATAATATTTTACAAAAAGTTAATTTACAGATAAATTTATTTTGCAGACATTATATTTTATTGATAAAATGCACAAACTTTAATATAAACTTAACTGAATCTGTGACATCAGATGCCAGTAAACTAACTATTTATCTATTTATGAAGCAAACTTATCTGTGAATTATTCAACTAAAAATAGCCTTACAGTAATTTAATTTTCTGTAAACTAAGTTGTTTGTGAAGTAATTATTTGTGAGTTGATAATATTAAATAAAATATTAATAAAAAATAAATATAACTTATGTATTCAGTAATGGCAAATGACAAGATCATAAAAAGTTTATAAAAATGACTATAAATAATATGTTATTTTAAAATAACAATGTCATTTATTATTAAAAAATTTTATACAAAATTATGCCAAAATGACAAGTTATAAAAAATATATGATATTAAAATAACAAATAAATAGCAATAATACTAATACTAATGTTCTTAAGACCAAACTATTTTGTGAAGAACAATTTTTAAATTGGAAAAAATTTCTCATAAAAATTTTAATATATTAACAACTATCCTGATTAAAATATTAAATTTTAACTCTAAAGAACTAGCTATAAATAGCTATTAGACATCAGCAAATTTATAGCAGCACATTCTTTTGAAAGATCTTACGAACTTGCAAAATCTTTTGAAAGATTTCACATATGCAATATTTTGAATTATTTTGAATATATTTCGAAATATTACAACTGTCAAAATATTATCAAAATATTTCAAAGTGTATTCAAAATATTTTTTAAATATTTTTTTGAGAACTGGCTGGATTAGTAAATATATAACCTGTGTCATACCAAGGACGCATTGAAATTTTGTATAATATATTGAAATTAATTTACAAATCTGTATTACAAGATCAGATCAGATTTTTTGTTTATAAATTAGATCTTCTATTTAGTTTATATTCATTTTGTTTTTTTTTGTTTTCATTTTTGTTTTTTTTTGTTTTCTCTTTTTTTTGCTTTCATTTTGTTTTTTATTTATTTATTTATTTATTTTTAAATTTTTTCACACTTTACAAAAACACTAGCCCTTTGCAAGAAAACCAGCAACTTTTTGGCACTTTGCAAGAACACTAACTTGACTTTGTATGCCAACTTAGACTTCTGACACTTTGCATAAACACACAATTGATTTCTTCAGAATTTCTAAATTTTTAAGAATGCAAGTTTTTACAAATTTTTACAAGTTTTCATGAGTTTTTGCAAGATTTGCAAGGTTTTGCTTCATTTATTTTTATATTTTATGTTTTTTGTTTTTGTTTTTTTTGTTTATTTTTAAAATTTTTTATTAATTTATTTTATTCTGGCACTTTACGAGAACAAAACTCTTACTTCCTGGCACTATGCAAGAAAACTAGCCTAGATTTTTTCAGCACTTTGTGACATTTTTGGCATTTTGCAAGAACATTTACCTAGCTTTTGCAATCTGGAACTTTACAAGAATACCAGTTTTAACTTTTCGACACTTTGCAAGAACATACTAGATTTTTCTGGCAATTTGCAAGAGCACCAACTCTTCTGAGAAATGAAATGAAATAATAAATAAAGCAATACCTTGCAAATACTTGCAAATACTTGCAAAAACTTGCAAAAACTGCAAAAACTTGTGTTCTTCTTTTTATTTTTTTTTATATCTTTACTATGTTTAGGAAGCATTTAGAAAAAGAGAGCGAAATGAAGGTATAGCCAAAACAAAAGAAATAG